AATCGCTACCATCCGAGTAATAAAGGAGAGCTGATTTGGTAGAAATTCTACGGGGCAGAACCCCTGAGCGGCCTGTTCCAAATCTTCTGGATCAATCCATATACACAGGATGTTCTGTCACTAAATCAGATCATTTGTTTAATGTCAGGTTAGCAGGTTGCCTGACCCCAATTATTCCACGGCTTTTGACTTAGCGCAATGTGTGAATCCCAATGAAAAGGAAAGCAGGGAGAAGGATATACAGGCAGGTGTTTGTTTTTTTTAACACTAGGTTTCTTTTTCCAGGAATGTTTGCAAACTTTTATAATAATAATAATAATAATAATAATAATAATAATAATAACAACAACAACAACAACAACAACAACAACAACAATAATAATAATAATAAAAGATTCATACTTTCAACCTGAATTGGTAAATATCCCCAGGCTCAATTTGCTACTGGTAGAGGAGCAGACTGGGTTCTTAAAGCGATCTTTTCAAACTAATTTTTAAGATGTTGTTTAGATATATAGATAAAAAACCCTCTTGAAATGAATGAGGAGGGGATTTTAATATGCTCACTAGGTGGCAGCATTGACTGCAAAATTAAATGTATTAGATAGATAGATAGATAGATAGATAGATAGATAGATAGATAGATAGATAGATAGATAGATAGATAGATAGATAGATAGATAGATAGATAGATAGATAGATAGATAGTCTGCTTGAGTTTTCCCTAGGCATCCATGTATATTATCCTTTAGAGGAGTGTTTCTTATTTTTTTTTCTCCCAGGATCTCTTCCCCCTTTTAAAAATTATCCAGGACCCCAAAATAATTTTTGTTTGTATGGATTATATTTACAAAGACTTACCGTATTAAATATTAACACTGATGCCTTTGCTGCCACTACAGATTATTTTTCCAGCAAATAATTTTAATTTTGCAGATCCCTGAGAGGGTTTTGAGTACAGTGACCACGTGTCCTTTAATTCAGCCTTTTGTTCATACTAGGATACGGAGACTGCTTTATGATTCTGAATGTGGATTTGCTTACAAGGAAGAGCTGAGATAAAGAATGATGTGCCTATACAGTAGGGTTTTTTTTTTGCTTGTTTGATTGTTTAATATCCCAGTTTTATTATTTTTACAAATAACTCAAGGAAGCAAACATATCCAACATGCCTTCCTTCTCCTATTTTCCCCAAATGATATCCCTGGATGTGGCCCCCACCTGTATCTCAATTCAAGGACCTGCTCCTTTGGGAAGGGGGGATGCTTCCCCATCCAGTATTATCAATAGGGCACCTGGGGAGCCCCTTGGTTTCAGGACAAGGGTCACCTCCATTAGTGAACCATCTTCTAGGTAGCCAGCTAAGCAATCCTCACCTGGAACAAGGCTTCCAGATCTGGGCAGCTAAAGCCCAAATGCCAGCAGGGGGCAGTACGGAAATATAGATAAACTGCCGTCTATTATTGCATGTGTTTATTTAGAACATTTATATGGCCACCCATCTTAAACCAAACTCTGGGCAGCCCCAACTTATATTATAAATATATATATATAAAGAAGGGAGGGCGAGAGGGAGGGAAGGAAGGAAGGAAGGAAGGAAGGAAGGAAGGAAGGAACCAACACTTACTGAACATCCAATTTTTTGCAGCCCACTTTTTTTATTCCAAGTCCAGAATGTGTGCAAACTCACCCCTGAGGTTAGTTCAGTGGGCTGAATCAACCTCTCAACATTGGATTTATTTAATAGGCCAAACCTGAGGAGTTAAAATGTCCACCATGCTAATACAACTTACTTATAGATGACTAAATGTCTGTTTAATACACTCCAGGGAGCAAATGCTTGAATCTTTGGGTGTATGCATCAACAGTCGTTTTGTTCTTCCCTGCCACAGATTTGGCATCTAAGCAACCATC